TGGCATGGGCAGCGAGGAGCATCATCTGCTGGTGGTGAGCGGCAACAAGCCCAGGCCGGATTACTGTAGGCTCGGATATAGTTGCCGTTGTGTGCACGAACAGCGAGGGAGAGAATCAGATACCGCTGGAGTACTTCGTAAGCTTAGACCATCTCCCAGGGACGAAGAAACACTGCGCTGGATCATAAATGTCAGTCCGTTCCGCTCAACGTTGGCAGCAACACCGTCAGAACGGCAGAAGAGATGCTTTTCCCCCTGCAACTCGTTTCTCGTCGGGTGGCGGCTAAAGAAGGCTGGATACACAAGCCTGGCAGATCGCTATCACCGTTGCCGCGAAACGCTCCGGCTATCACAAACTACAGGTGCGTGCTTGTCCGGGGTCTGGCAAACAGACAGGCCAGGCTGCTGTGGATACATGGGGCCATTTTTGATTCGAATTAATCTTACGGCGATGGAGTCTGTGGGAAGAAGCCTGTTACCTGCAGTATGTGTTAATCTTGCATGGTAACACCACGCATGATTGAGTAATTTGGCGGTGCTTGGTCCTCGGTCAGTGAGATTCCATTGTACAGTGTGGTTATCAAAGAACTGTCTTTGGCAAACACTTGCAGAGAAATGGAATTGACCTCACGTTTGGAATCCTAGACTGGGGGACAATGGCTAGGCAGATTGTGCAATAACTGGAGAGCTACTACGAGCCCCAGTGCAGCCCGTCCTAGGCCCATGACGTGGTTCGCCCGCTCCTTGTACAATTTGGAAACGGAGCGTCGCGTCAGAGCCTGCTGGACGCGTCTATATGCCAGTTTCCGTATAGCAGCTACAGCTTGTAGAGTATCGTATCTCTCAGTCAGGGAATCCTTGTCAGCAGTGCTGTAACATACTGCAGCCGTGCAGCAATGCCAGGACAGATGCCTGTAGCTAGCGATGCCGCAGTCTGCAGTCAACGCACCAGCATCAGTGTCGAATCCGAATCGAATCCGTTGGGCGGATCACTGCTGCTAAGCCTTCCCGCTGCAGCCAGTAAAATACGGCAGAGGGGCGCTGCCAGCCCACTGGCTTGACGGCAAATCATCTGGTAGCGCACCGCGGCCAAAACAGGAAGCGAGAGCCCCTCCGCCTCCACCCTGTAGCTTTTGGGTCGTTCCCTGCTGGACTTGTCCTAGTCGGGGCCCTTTTTTCCCCTTCCTCCCTCTTTATTTTTTTTCCCACTGCCTCAGACTGAACACGATCTGGCTATTATTAGAAGCCTCCAACGCCAGATTCAGCCCCATCGTCCTGCAACCGCCTATGCCAACACGTTTAATCCAACCCCCAGCTTCAACGATCAACCGCTGCAACGCACCCCGACGCTGCCCACCCAGCATCTGATCCCAAGCGACAGGCGCTGCCGCTGCCGCTGCATGTATCGCGCCTTGCAACCGCGACTGCGACTGGATCGGCTCTGGCACCGCTGCTGAAGCCGCCCGCCACTGGCATCGAACCCGCCCGGCTCTGCTCCGTCTGGCGAGCCAACATCGTTCTATTCTTCTTTGTTTCGCGCCCTGCCAGCCTGCGACCGTTAGGCCACTCTTGGTATATAATTGTGGCTGCCGAGAACTGTACATAGGTGGCGCTGCTTCCTCACGTCGTCCTCGGCCTCGACTCGTCCATCGCCATCCTTGTCTCTGGTGCGCCCGCGCATGACAGCAAGTCTTAGCACAAGCCAGTCGGTTTATAAACTACTGCTAGTCCTGCTGCTGGAATTGGCCGTCGTCTCTTGTCATCTTCCCCGGGGCGAGCCGTCTTACTCCCTCCCTCGTGCTTCTTTGTCTCTTGTCTCTCTTTGTGGGTCCGGACAAACCATTTCTTTTGCGGCGCGTGCTTTTTTAGACATTGCACAATCTTCGCTCCCGCTTCACGGGCCCAATTTCGATCTCGACCTCGAAAATTCCCCTTTTCCGAGCGATCTGGACCTTTGAGTTCGAAAATCGAGACCCGCCACTGCCAAACACGTCCACGGCCGTCGGGTATTGGACGATCCCGAGCCTCGAGTCTTTCGGCCTCGCGCGCCGTTCTACCTCACTCCTCCATACCGCGATTCTTCTGGCCCTGCCAGCTGTAGTTCAAAATGGGTCGAAGAAAAATTGAGATCAAGGCCATCAGAGATGACCGCAATCGCTCTGTGTATGTTATCACCAAAGCCGTTGCCTTGCGCCCATTCCCGTCTACATGTACTTGAGCTAATATCGACATCTTCTAGGACTTTTCTCAAGCGAAAGGGCGGCCTATTCAAGAAGGCCCACGAGCTCTCCGTCTTGTGCTCCGTCGATGTCGCTGTTTTCATCTTTGGCAACAACAAGAAGCTGTATGAATATTCTTCAGCAGATATGCAGCATCTCATCACCAAGTATCAATATGTAAGTTCCACTAAAGGGCCGCTTGATCGGCCGCATGGCTTTATCCATTTCCACTCCAATTCTGGCAGGACGTGTTTGACTAATGTAATGACACTTATAGCACGGCGGCCCTAATGAGCACAAGGGCCCTGCCGACTTTAACGGCGGCGGAAACGACGACGACGACGATGAGGACGGCGATGGAACGCCCCCTCGCCCCGACGGAATGGAAGCTCATATGATGCCTCCCCATTTCCAAGGCCAACCTCCGTCATTCCCTCCTCATATCCGCCACCAGACAGCCTCAGTATCGCCTCCCATTCCCAACGGCGTGCCTTTCCAAGGCCATCCTGCCCACCTCCAGCGAAGCCACACGCCGCAACCTGCCGTTCCGTCACGGCCCGGCTCCAGAGGAGACATGCGGCGCATGGGTCCCGGCATGATGTCCCAGCCTGTCGGCCCCCACGGACCTCATCCGGGAATCACATACATGCCTACGCCTCCAATTTATAATCCTGCTGCTGGTAACCATTCTAACTTGATGCCGCCCCAGCCTGGCCCTTATCCCTTTCAACCACCACAGCAACAGCAACAGCCATACATGGAAGAACGGAGACCGTCTGCGCCCCCCACCTTCAACGCTCATCCGCCTCCCCAGCCCATGGTAGCAGGCCCCCGCCCTGAGCCCTCTCCTCCTCAGCCGCCTCATCAACTAGTCCCTCCGCATTCCATCCCTCCTCACATGACTTCACCGCAGCCATCACGACGTCCCTTGGATCCGCAACCTCCTCCACCGGTCGAGCCAAAGCCAGAAGCTCCCGAGCGGCCTATCGAGCGGCCTAAGGCGCCCCTCATCAACACGGACATAGCGATCAAGAAGATATCCCAGCGTAAGTCGCACAGTATCTTCACGCCCATCGAAGAAAACCGGTCAATCCTATCACAGCATTTGGCGTCTTTTGCTTCCGAACCTCAGTCTCAATCAAACGCAAACCGGTCTCAGTCGGCTGACAATGGGGCCATCATACGAAACGGGGAATCGTCGTCTTCGCCGCACCTGCAACAACGTTCCAATTTACGCAATACATCGATATCCTCGCTCCCTGATACTCCTAATACCAGCAGCCTAAAGATCAACACAGCTGTGGGAGGCGCACGGCCCAAACCACCTCGGCTTACCGTCCAAATTCCGGACGGAGCATCTGAAGCTGGCGGCAGTGCAACAGGCGACTCGAACTCCCCTCGAAATCCAGCAGATGCCGTCTCACACGCACAGCATCGGCACGGTACCGTGGTCCTCCCGCCCCCTTCTCCATCTGCCACCGCGTTGCACTCGGCCGGGGCTACTACAGGCCCGCCCAATCCTTTTGCTCGACCAGTCCCACAACAGAATATCAATGGCGACACACCCGTTTCTGCTCTCCCATCTCGCTTCCTAAACAATGAGCTGCTGCCAAGTCCCAGCAGCTTCTACCCAGAATGGAACTTTAGAGGAAGTGACAACAACACGCTGCCCAGCCCTCTAAACTTCGCCACGCCTGTGGTAGGCTCAGGGCCGAGTTTCCTACGGGACGATGCCCACATGCAAGGTGGCAGCGGCGGGAATGCTGAGGCAGGTAATGGCAACCTTGGCGCCTCGACACAGCCGTCGGGATTGGCAAAACGAAAGAGTCCGGAGCTTGAAGCGACTGGCCCTGATGAGAACCATGACATGGCTAGCGACCCCAAACGCTTGAAAGTGGACCGATAGGATGTATGAGATACTTGTTGGGTAATTTTGATTCTCTTCATATTCCTTCAGATACCCCTTTGTCCTGTATCAACTTAGATTCTTTACTTGTCTTTCTGTTTGATTTTTATTTTCATTTATACCTTTTTATTTTCTATGTATATCTATTACGTGGAGATTTTTTTCATGGGAGAATTTTTTGTCTACAAATCCATCTTTCGTTTAACCATTGCTAAGATGGAGGTTCTGTGTTTTGTATTGGCATTATTATTCGGGAGATGTATGCCGGTGTCGTTGTTGCAAGGAGGAGGATTATTTTGTGTTATTGATACCGTTTTCAAGCTCTTTCTATTGCATTTTGGATACTAAATGGGAGGTCGCCTAATGTGGAGATGTGGGAAAGCGTAATTTTCAATCACAATTGGAGGCAAATCTTTTTGAATCAAGCAGATCGGGGGAAGGGTATTTTTTGGAAAGAGGAGAAGTGGAAGGAAGGGAATTATCTATGGGAGGATGGCGTTTTGGCAAGAAAATGTAGTTTGGCTACACAGAACTGAGGGATACAAGGCTGCTTAGTTTTTGGTGAATAATATTCCATTCTGCGATGTGTAAAATTGCTCGTCTTCTTTCCGCTTGTGATGCATGACAATTGCTTTCATTCTGGTTACCTGCCAGAGTTTTACATGTTTAAGCTAGGACTAAGTGGTCGTTTATATCATTCAGGATGGCCTTTCGCATATCAATGCGCAAGTGAATTATATTCATATCGCCGAAGTAAAGACTCGGCTTATTATAGCCAAAATTAACACAATCTAGAACCGCACTGCTGAGAACAAGAATAGACGATGTCGGATATAAACGTATCATAAAAGGAAAAAAAAAGTATCATCATATCATTATGCGGAATTCAAGACGCCGTTCAAAATCCAAACTTCCCCATTTGCAACGCGGCTGGCGACACGGTCGACTTGCACCTCATCCGGCATAATCACCCTCTGCTCATTGCCGTCCTTGTCCTTCTTCGCCTCCCACCACACCTCCGTGCCCGCAGCAGTCTTTGCCTTGACGCCAGCCTCCCAGGGACTCGTCCCGACGACAAGATGCGCCTCGACAAACCTGCGCAAATTGTCGTCGGCGCGATCTTTGCCGCCGGAGCCATCATACGCCTGCTCACCCAAAGCAGCGTAGTCGCTAGGGTTCTCCCAGGGCTTTCGTGGCTGGTCGTCGATGACGACGTTGCCCGGCGCGAGGACGGTGGTGTTTGTGTTTGCGTCGGAGAGGGGCTCGCTGGTGGACTCGTGCATGCGCGTGAGGGAGAAGAAGGTGGTGAGGGAGCGCTGGGTGCCGAGGATGTCGTAGAGCAGGACGGCGGGCTGGACTTGGCTGTCGTTGTTGTTGTCGTTTGAGGAGCCCATCATGACGGGGAGGTGGCCGGGGGGTGGGTGAGGCGGCAGACGCTGCTGGTCGTCTGGCCGGCGGAGCGGTTGTTGGTCTGATGGAGGAGCCGTGGCTGCGGTGAGGAGTGAGAGGCTGAGATGGAGCAGGGTGAAGAACTTCATGCTCTTCTAGTGCGACGAGATGGCAGCGATCAGGCTGTAGATTGGGCTGGAATTGTTGTTGCGATAGGTTGGATGGATGGATTGGGTGTTAGATTGATATCGCGAGTGAACGACGTCACTAGGGGTTTTCTGACGAATAGGGAAATTATCGGCGGCAGATGCTCAAAAGGAATGCATTTTCGTCACGTGGCTAGTCCTTCTCGAAAACAGAATTGGTTATATGGGACGAAAGCTGGGGCAGAAGAAAAAAAAGCTGGAGCGCAAGAGGTGGAAAATTAATATCCGAAGGCTAAAGAAGATGGCAAGCCTTAGTTGGAAGAATAGTGAAAAGAAAAGAAAGTAAGTAGTTCCGTCGCAAGAAGCGCAAGAAACTCGTCGATACCAAGATACTAGGTACTGAAGCCAGGCACTGGTAAGAGTGCTGTGCACCATTTGGCGGGCTACATGCACATCCTTGCGCAGGGTCTAGGCTAGAACATGATTTTCACATGAAAGTACAAGAGACAAGAAGGGCAAAAATCAAATCATTTGCTGCGACTCAGAGCCCGGGCGAGCCAATAACGTGGCTGGGAACCGGCTCACCGAGCACGGAGACCATCATCTGACTTGCGCCCCTGTGGCCCCCCCGGATTTGGGGTTTTGCTCTTGAATGTGTGGGGTAAGAAAGCTGGGCTGTCGTTTTGCCGTGCTTGGCTTGCTGAGCATATGTATGGGGGAGCGCACATGGTAGTAGCAATACGTAGGTGATGTGATGGGCGACGGTCAGCTGGGCTGACTGGCGGAACTTGACATGTGAAAAGCATGTGGCATGTGGGAGAGAAGCCGTTTTAGCGGGCGTGCTCTGATACCCAGTTGGCGCCAGATAGTGTGGCCGATGTTAACTGGGATGATCAAAGGTTGGGTTTCTCTGGCAAAGCCAGTTGTCTGGTTGAAAGGGCTGTTGGCCTGTTGGAAGATGATAATTTCGTGCTGCCGAATGTGAACTAGAATCTCCCCATCCAGGGCTCGGAGACGAAAAATTAGCCTCGGTAGTCGCGTGTGCTGCCAGATGAGAGAACCAACACGCTCCAAGGTGCAAACACTCATACGTCTTGCAAAATCGCCCTATTCTGCTCTTATCCCCTTGATCCAATGGTAACCGGATCTTCGGCTTTATAGATACTGCTAGTGGAAGCAGCGTTCACTGTTGGCTGGTGTTTTCTGGTGTTCCGGGAACGGACTGACGTTTGCCCCAGCGGGAGTTTACAAAGCCTAATTGCTGATTTGACAACTGCGATTGGGGTAGTTTAGTGGGGTGGGAGAAAAGTGGCTAAAAATGCCCACGGAGTACCGGCAAGGAGACGGTCATTGCTGGAAATCATTCTGCTGAATGGTGGAAGAATTGATGGATAGTCAATCTCAAGAAGTATGAGGTGGAAAATGAAGAAGAAGGAAAGAATCCATTGGTACAGAAGATTTACATTCTGCGTGCTGCAGAGACCGTATGTGTAGATTTGCATCCATCAAGATCCACGCCATTCCCCGTACCTCGCTCCCCGGCTTCACGCTTCAGCGGGCTTAGTGGGTACTCCAGCGTGCTGTACCTGTACTGCCGTCTCGGTGGCTTTCCCCTACCTACCCACCCAAGGTTGCCTCGGCTCACTACCGCCCTCGGCGTGGAGCTCATGCCCATTCCGTTACTCTTTAAAACTCCAAAGGTCGAGCCGCGATCTCATTCTTATCCCCTTCTTTTCTTCTCCTCTCTCCATTCTCTTCCTTTTCCCCCTCCCCGTCCATCTAGTATACCCTCGTTGTATTTCTCCGTCTGATTACAGTCGCGTCGTCCTCCCCTTCTTGCCCCTCTACCGCTTCAGACTCCTCACATCACAACCATGGCTCCCAGAGTAATTGTCGTTGGTGGCGGCCGTAAGTAATAGCCTTGAGTTCTTCTGCCTGTCGCTTGATCTTTCTGCCGCTTTTGCTCTGTTCATCCCTACAGACGAGATGGACGCATACGCGACAGCGGGGATAGGCGGCATTCGGCTGGGACCATCAGTTTGCTGATTCGATGCCATTACAGTTTCTGGTCTGTCAGCCGCTCACACTATCTACCTTGCCGGTGGCAACGTAGTAGTTCTCGACAAGCAGGGTAAGTGTTGCGTATAATATGCGATTTCCCGGCCCAATTCTCGCTGCTCAGCGATTGTAAGAGGCTCGGGAGGATTTACACCGAAATGCTGACTCTCGCGCTCAGGTTTCTTCGGTGGTAACTCGACCAAGGCCACCTCCGGCATCAACGGTGCCTTGACCCGCACCCAGGTCGACCACAACATCCGCGACTCCGTCAAGCAGTTCTACGATGATACCCTCAAGTCTGCTCGTGAGCAGGCTCGTCCCGACCTCATCAAGGTCCTCACATACAAGTCCGCTGCTGCCGTTGAGTGGCTTCAGGACGTGTTCAACCTTGACCTGACGCTGGTCTCCCGACTTGGGTAAGTTGGCTTGCCTCTCGTTTGCATGGCATATCCTCACTCTAGCGGGACAATCTGGCTAACGACGTTTTGCAGTGGTCACTCCCAGCCCCGAACCCATCGAGGCCACGATGCCAAATTCCCCGGCATGGCCATCACTTACGCTCTGATGCAGCGCATTGAGGAGCTTGCCGAGGCCGAGCCCCATCGTGTCGAGATCATCAAAAAGGCCCGCGTCACCAGCTTGAACAAGGACGGCAACAACGTCACTGGTGTCACGTACGAGCTGAACGGCGAGACCGCTTCTTTGGATGGCCCCGTCATCCTCGCTACCGGTGGTTACGCCGCTGATTTCGGCGAGGGCTCTCTGCTCAAGAAGCACCGCCCCGAGATCTTTGGCCTTGCCACTACCAACGGTACACACGCCACTGGTGACGGCCAGAAGATGATCATGGCCATTGGCGGTAACGGCATTGACATGGACAAGGTCCAGGTCCACCCTACTGGTCTGGTCGACCCTAAGGACCCCGGCAACAAGTGGAAGTTCTTGGCCGCTGAGGCTCTACGTGGTGAGGGCGGTCTCCTTCTCAACGCCGATGGTGACCGATTCTGCGATGAGCTCGGCCACCGTGATTACGTCTCTGGCATGATGTGGAAGGAGAAGGACAAGAACAAGTTCCCCATCCGCCTCATCCTCAACTCTAAGGCCTCCAACGTCCTGGACTTCCACACTCGCCACTACTCTGGCCGTGGCCTCATGAAGAAGATCACCGGCCAGCAGCTTGCCAAGGAGATTGGCTGCACTCCTGAGCACCTCCAGAAGACCTTCCAGACCTACAACGCCATTGCCGAGGGCAAGCAGAAGGACCCCTGGGGCAAGAAGTTCTTCCACAACCTGCCCGTTGACATCAACGACGACTTCCACGTCGCTCTCATGGAGCCCGTCCTCCACTTCACCATGGGTGGTGTCGAGATCAACGACAAGGCCCAGGTCCTCAACCAGGAGCAGAAGCCCTTTGACGGTCTCTTCGCCTGTGGTGAGCTGGCTGGTGGTGTCCACGGCGCCAACCGTCTTGGTGGTTCATCACTGCTTGGCTGTGTCGTCTACGGCCGCGTTGCCGGTGACAGTGCCAGCAACTACCTCTTCCAGCATGCCCTCCAGGGCACCGCTGGCGCTGCTCAGCGTCTGGGCCAGATCTCCCTGCACCTCGATCCCTCTGCTCCCGGTAAGCTGACCGTCGAGTGGGCTAACGGCGGTGCTGCCAGCTCTGCTCCCGCTCAGGTTGCCGACAAGCCTGCCGCTGCCGCTCCCAAGGAGGCTTCCAAGCCCAAGGCTTTCTCTGTCCCCGAGACTGAGTACACCATGGAGGAGGTTGCCAAGCACAACACGCGCGAAGACCTGTGGGTTGTCGTCAAGGGTGTTGTCCTGGACCTGACCAACTGGGTTGAGGAGCACCCCGGCGGTGTCAACGCCATCTTGAACTTCATGGGCCGTGATGCCACCGAGGAGTTTGCCATGCTGCACGACGACGAGGTCATCCCCAAGTACGCCCCCAGCCAGGTCATTGGCCGCGTCAAGGGACAGAAGGTTACCCTCGAGTTTTAGAGGAAAAGAAAGTCAAAACGAACGAAATGTAATGTCATGTATAAAAACACAAGCCCCCGAGCTGAAGGATGAAGGGGGAGAAGAGCTGGAACGAATCTTGGCATCTACGGGGGGCAGGAGATGCGTATACCATTATGACGATTGTGAGGACGGAGCCTCAGCATGTGTTTTGCTCTCGCAACGATGAGCTGTTAGATTGTCTTTTTACAGGCGCACTGGGCTCGGTTGTTTGATATGTGGTTTTATGTAATGTACGGATAGTTATAGTTGCATATAAATCAAGTTTTTTGATCAAGTACTTTTTGACTTTGTTCCTAATTGACTGACTTTGGAGCAGTAGCTATCAGATGAACTATATTCAAGCTATCGAGAAGTATATTTCGAATTGGTACGCTTATTTTGAATACTCAGAGTGAAGTGCCTTGTTTCACGTCCACATCGTAGATTCAGTACTTGATCTTCAGAATACGGACGTTCTATTCTAAGTATGAGTAGAGCATCCTGGAGATGGATAAAACACAACATTTGGTGGTCAGCGCACGAGAGCCCCTCTTCAAGTCAGCATCAACAAGCCATTGGTATAGAGGCACGTTTTGATACGATGAAGTAAAGCAGCTTCCTTTGCCTCTTTATCCTCTTGATCCTCCACGCCTCATCTGTCTTCCACAATGGTGGTCATAAATTCAACGGCGATCGATATGTGACCTCTTTCTCTCCCTCCCGTCTTTTTTATATGATATCTTTTATTCTTGTAATGGGCGCCGTTGAGACCGTTAAACGTCCAAGGGGTAGAAAACACCGCCGCCTATCGCATACAGATTTATAGTGACAGGCCGGTGGTGTTTTTGATCCACTGCATGGTGTCTTAGCTACTTTAACTGAGGCCCAATCACAGTCTTTCTGTTCCAGGTATTCAATGTATGAGGAATATATGATCATTACAC